TATATATATATATATATATAGTTTTTCGTTTTACCTCAAAAAACCACAACAGCCTGTTTCATCCGTATAGGAATCATCAGGTGGTGAATAATTTCGAAATTGTAGGTTGCTTTTATGCTATCGAAAGAATGTGCGGAATGCGTGTAGGCGAAACAATGCTGAGGTGAAACAATGCATGCTTGGGTCATTAGGTTTTGTTAACGACCTTGTTTACTCGAAACCGATTTTTGTGACGACATTTGCCGAAAATTTCGCTTCTTTTATTGAGTAAATTGTCTTTGTTTATGTCTTTCAAATATATATATATATATATATATATATATATATATATATATATATATATATATATATATATATATATATATATATATATATATATATATATAATTGATGCTTAGGCAAAACAATGCTTGGGTCATAAAATTTCGCTTCTTTTATTGAGTAAATTGTCTTTGTTTATGTCTTTCAAAATGCAAAATTTTTCTTCCAAACATAAATTGCAGCGTTTTGATCCCCCAGTGTACGAAATAGCGTGTTTTAAAATTGACCATTTGATGGTATAATCCTGATTGTTTTCTTTTAATTTCCAAATATGTTTCGAAAGTTCCGTTTTGTTTGAGTCTTTTTTATGACGAAAAGATGAAGTGTGGTTAGCGTAACGTTCCTTAAATGTAGTCGCTGTCATACCAATGTAGTGTTTAGTGTCGTTCGTGTTGTTCGTTGTGACTGTTGCTTTGTAAATAATGTTGTTGGTCATGCATTGTTTCGGTAGTGGGCAAGTGTTTTTGTTGTCGCAGTTACAGTTGTCAGTTTCCGTATTCTGTGATTGACTGTTCCTAATTATATGTGCGTTGTGTTTGGTGATTATAGACTTAACGTTGTTCATGCAGCTGTAGCTTACTTTTAAAGTGTTTCTGTTAAAAATCTTGTGTAGTTTGTGCTGTAGCGGGAAGTGTTTGTCAATTAAACTTAAGAATTCCCGTCCTATGTTCGTGTTAACACTCTTACTAAATGGTGGGTTGAACCAAATTATGTTGCGTTGCCTATTCCTACGTGTCCGTTGCGGTGCATTCTGAGTGTACGTAAATTCATGATCAAAGTTACTATGTGTAAGAGCGTTCTGGTAAATAGGTGTGGATTCCTTAAATGTTTGTTCGTCCGATGAGAGAAGTGCAATGCGTTTGTTGATAGCTGTAGGTAATTGTCTTGTAATGCTTGGTGGATGGTTTGAGTGTCTGTGGATGTATAATGGATCGTCATTGGGTTTCCTGTATGGTTTGTGTTTTGCGTTGACGTCACTATGGGTAGTTTCGACGGCGCTGAAATTTGTGAGCTGGTAGGCCTTTTCATTTTAAATCACTTAGGTAAGAGGTTTGGCAAGGAAAACATCGGACTTTATAGAGATGATGGTTTGGCTATTATAAAAAGCAAATCCGCCCGTTTACTAGACAAAACTAGAAAAGAGCTACACAAAATTTTCGAGCAATTTAAAATTTAACTTTTCAATACACTGGGAAAAGTATCAGTTTATGCGGAATAAAATAAATATACGAATGCGTAAAACAAAAGCCGATTTCTATCATAGAGAGATTGGAGAGTGTGCTAAATTAAATGATTTGAAAAAAACCTGGTCGCTAATAAACTCTCTTACTGGAAAGAATAATAAGGCCAACAATATTACAGAAATCTCTGTTAATAATTGTAACACCTCCAATTCGAAACTTATTGCCGAAGCCTTTAATGAATATTTCGTTAACGTAGGCCCAAATTTGGCATCTGAAGTAAATCATGAACTTTCTGAAGAGGAAATGAATAACGGTTGCATTCCTAACACTCAAATAAACACAGAATTTCAGTTCCATCAAATTAATGTGGAAAATGTAGCGTTGGCTTTAATGAATTTAAAGACTAACAAATCTACTGGTTTGGATAAAATTCCAGCCAAAGTCCTTAAACTAACTGCAGATATCATAGCTCCGTCACTGTCCTATATATTTAATTTATCACTCGAAACAGGGATTTATGTTGACGACTGGAAATGGGCTCGAGTGAATCCAATTTATAAATCAGACGACAGACTAAAATGTGAAAATTATAGGCCGATTTCTATACTGCCAATCGTAAGTAAGGTTTTTGAAAGAGAGGTTTTTAGACAAATTTATAGCTTTGTTTCTGATAATTTCTTACTCTCCAAGTTTCAATCGGGATTTCGACCTAAACACTCCACACTGTCCTCTTTGATACAAATGTGTGACGATCTACTTGAGAATATGGATAATGGCAAAATAAATTGTGTCGTGTTCCTTGATGTACGTAAGGCCTTTGATTGTATAAACCATGAAATACTATTAAAAAAGATGCTTAACTACTTTGGTATATCAGGAATTCCACTAAATTGGTTCAAGTCTTATCTATCTGATAGAGAGCAGCAATGTCTGGTAAACGGTCATTTATCGAGCCCGAGAAAGATAAAATGTGGTGTACCGCAGGGATCTATCTTGGGCCCTTTATTATTCCTATTATACATAAACGATATGCCTGACTCCTTAAAATATTCAACTCCATCCCTCTACGCAGATGACACAGAAATTTATCTATCCTCTAAAGATTGTGATGACATTGTTATTAAAATAAACCTTGATCTTGAAAATATTCGAAAATGGATGCTACAAAATAAGCTCCAAATTCATCCGACAAAATCGAAATATATGTTTATTGGATCAGCGTATAATATTAAACATAAGGTATCTGGTAACCCAATTCTTGTTAATAACGTTCCAATACCCAGGACTGAAAATTACACTTGCCTTGGCGTCAACATTGACGAAAAATTGACCTGGGAAAAACATATTGAAATGATATGTTCAAAAGTCAGTGCGGGAATCGGTGCTATAAGACGTATTAGGCCCTTCGTATCGTCTGCGACACTAAAATTGATGTACAATGCTATTGTGCAGCCCTACTTTGATTACTGCAGCCCTCTCTGGGACAACTGTGGAATAGGCCTCAAGGATGGGTTGCAGAAATTTCAAAATCGGGCTGCAAGAGTAATTTCTAGTGTGACTTACAATGTTCGGTCGGTTGATTTACTTGAAAGCCTGGGTTGGAAACACCTAGAACTAAGGCGAACTTATCAAAAATCTGTTTTTATGTATAAAATTCTGAATAACCACACCGCACCAAATCTAAGAACATCCGTTCGATTAAATAATGAATGTGATAATACCTATGATCTTAGAAATAGAGAAACCGATTTGTCTCTTCCCAAACCGAATACCGATTCCGGTAAAAGATGCTTCAAATATAACGGAGCGGTAGTATGGAATAATTTACCGTATGAGGTAAAAGTAGCGGAATCTTTAAGTTCTTTTCAAAGAACTATTAATCAGGCAAACAATTAAAATTGGCTCGTCCTGTTGTCTACTGTATATGTAATTCTTCTTTCTTTGTTTTTGTATTCTTAATGTATATTTCTCCAAATCACGCCCCTCATGGAAATCAGCTCCTAGTTGTTGAGGCCAGCGTGCCTAAATAAATTTTTGTATGTATGTATGTATGTATATATATATATATATATATATATATATATATATATATATATATATATATATATATATATATCACGGATTATATCTCTGGCATGCAAATAATGTCTCTATCGATCTCTAATCAATGTCGTCATGGTTACATAATTAACTAAGAATTAACGAAAATATTTAACAGAAGGTTAAAATCTGAAAATTGTTCTGCTGACCCAATAAAGTGCAAACCAAGCTAAGAAATCACAATGCCTGACCAGATGCAGAATCCACGATATATGACAAGGAAATAAGAGGACAATTGAAGAGAATCATTAAGCAGAATGTTGGTGGTTTGATATATATTCAAGACTTCAATTAAAACTTTAGTTCGCATTTATATAGGCAGAGTAAAATAGTGGAGCATGTGGTGCACTGGGCCCAAAATCCAATAGGCACGTTACTGAATCCTATAGAAATTCCTACATGCAGGAGAAGTTTTTCGAACACCTCTCCCCCCTTTACTCCCGACAAGTTAGATGATTTAGGTGCCTATTTAGTTCGTTGGAATTTTTGTTTATATTATAATTGTCAATGAACGATACACACTCTGTGGAAGCATACGAGAACTGAAGTTTATTTTGCAATATGTGGATTTATGTTACAAGAGTGCTGAAATACAATTGGTCAGAATAATCATTAATAATGCTATATATGGTATTACAGGAAAAGTATTATATAAAGGGTATTAATCATATGATTGCCTAACTGAGCTAACTAATCACAATTAATTAAATCATCGATAATATACGAAGTAGTATGAGCACGACTAAAACAGTGCCTCTGGATAGGAGCAGTTAGAGTGGGGTGAGGGTCAGGATATCGATGTGTCTGTATGATGATAGACATTATCGGGGCCGTAGCGACGAGGCTAATTCGTGGGGGTATCACATTAGGCGTGAACATTTCAGCCGCTAATTCATATTTACTCCCGGCAAGGGGGGGAGGCAAAAAATGATCCGACATACCGTTATTCACTAACTTTCCAATCCTAAATTTTTCCGTAATATTTTTATAAACTTATCAAAATGTTTGCTATAACTATCACTTTTTAATCCGAGCAACTCATCATGTTTTCAGGGGGTGTTACCACCGCCCCCCATGTAGCTATGGCCCTGTAGATCATACATAAAAGTGCACGACCGTGTCATACAAATGAAGAGGATGTTGTTGTTCCTATCGGAAAATACATAGGTATATATCATCTACGTAGAGATGATATGTACCTCTGTATAAGCCGAATACAAACTGGAGAAAGCAAAATCTGCTTCACCAGGCTTGTAAAGACTAAGAGTACAACGAATCTTTATCTTTATAATACTCGTACAGTATATTTAAAATATAACTTACTAACTCTTTGTATCCTTGTGAATATGGATAGCATCATGTATCCTATAGTATCATAATGGTATATTATATATATCCATATTATTATACGAATATGTATAAATACTGCACGCACTCTATATATATTTTCTATACTTTGTATTTTAATGTTTTGCAGGAACCATCTGAAAACACTTCCTGTGCTGTTGTTTTCCTGAATAAATATTATTATCGTTCATTCATCTACTGAATACTTATAGCCAGAGGCAGCGGCAGTAATTTGGGGAGGGGGGAGGCTAATAGTTTGTGACGTGACAATCCTGCCTACAATCTTGCACCTAAGACCATTGCACCCAATATTGCAAAGATAATGCACATTGACGGAACAAGTCTTGTCTCTCCCCCCCTTTTCTCCCCCTCCCCCCAAACAACGCCGAAACAACTTTTAGTAATTGACTTACCATGACATAAGCGGGGACCGAAGCTAAGAAGAGCAACATGCCTCAACATGAAATCAATCATAAAGGAATTCGAAACTAGTTCACAGTTATGTTCAACATCATTGGGGTTCCAGGGGCATGTTTTCCAGGAAAAATTAATTTGGGGGAATCTAGAATGACATTTCCAGCATTTGGCGAAAAATGTGAAGCACTTGGCGAAAAATGGAAGCACTTGGCGAAAAATGTGAAGATCTTACAACGTGAATCCAACGAAAAGCATGTAGGATTTTTCTGTAAAATGATTTGGTTGTGGTTCTTGCCAGAACTAGGTTACCTGAGGGTTGGTTTCCATTGGTTCTGAGTTGCTCCGTATCAGTGAAAAAACCAAGACCGTCAGAAGTGAATCGATTTTTTTTTGGGGGGGGGGGAGGCTCAAGAATAAATCTGAATAGATCTGAATTGCTTTCGCACTTTTCTAGTTTTTTTTGTCTTTTGCTGACACTGCTCTTTACACTAATTAACAGTTATTAAATTCGGTTTTCGCATTGATTATCAAATCCTTAGTTGGTGTTATCAACGTCAGCCGAAAAATTTAATGTTTTATTATTTATTTACATAATGAAAGAGACATCCGTACTTGAGAGTTCAATTCATCAAATTAAATAATGCCCAGGTCTTTTGTCCTCCCAGAATTATTTTTCCTTTTTTCTTGATAAGTACGTTTAATTTTAAGATGTTTCAATATCTTTCCTGCATGGTTGTTTTTGTTGATATTTCTTCTTTATTTTTTAAAATTTGCTTCCCTCAAACCAAAGGGTATTCGTATTTCCAAAGCATGACATGATAACGTTGATCTGATCACTTAATTCATGTCAGCATTATGAGGTCATAATATACCTTGATATGACTTTTTCATCTCAGCACTATGACGTTATAACGTTGATTATTATGTCAGAACTACATGGTGAGCTATTTTGCGCGGTTTAAGCGAAAGAGACTTGGGGTGAGTAAATACAGATATTTGATTTTTGAGCGTTTTATTTGCGTTTTTGCCTCGTTTTTTTGGCTAACCAAAAAATTGTTAATCCATTGCATTTTTGGGAAGGCGAGGAAGGTATGAGAACGTTCACAGGCTAAAAATATTTATAAAATTACAACTTTTGCGTAACTTTATATATTGGAACTGCCTCGGATTCCGATGGAAATGTCCAATAATTCCTACTATTCCGCATTTTAGATGAATGAATTATCTCCCAAAAATAAAGTATATGTTATAAGGAGTAGTTTAAACCATATTTGGTTTTGGGGCTCTCGGCTAGATTTTAAAATATTTTAATTTTTTTTTTATTTTATTGTGCTAACCTTTACCCCCATAAATCAGCCCGTATTAAATTGGAGAGAGATGGAAACGTATTCGCATGATTTCAAACTGCTCATATTTTCTGAATCAATAGACTCTAATCTTTCAACTAATATGCTTTAATTTACGAACAGTATTAGCAAACACATGCAATTTCTAGTGGGATATTCAGAGGCACCTATTCAGACTACTACAGACTACATTAGACGGTTGTGCCATTTTTTATATCAACCCGTATTTTCATATGGACAATACTTTGATTAGTGAATTAATTAAGAAATCTTTGAAGAATCATTTAGAGATAGTCTCGTTTTGAGGCTCTCGACTAGATTTTTTACAATCTTAAGTTGAAAATTTAGCTTTTTCCTATTTTCAGCAAAATCACGATATTTGCACCCAGTGTTTTCAAGGATTTAATCATAAATAAACTTTCCAAAGATATTTCTGATTAGAAAAATGCGTTTAAAAAAATTTAAACCCACCCTGAGTTTATGTTTTTTAATTTTATCTGTCCAGGGAGTAAAAACAACTTGTATCTTCCACAAAAAGTTAAATTTCGTCAATATTTCGAAGTAATAAATAAATAGTTCATAATTGTCCGATTTCAGTTTAAAGTCTTTTATCCAGGACATTTTTCAATAGCCTTTGAATAAACGAACTTAAATTATTGCACAACCACCGTTTTCTTCTCAAACGAGAAGCCCAAAAACTTGCTTTTGCTCATTTTAATAATTTAAGGTGGCTCCCTAGGGTTTTTTAATTTACTACACTATAGTATTCAGGAGACTCCTGTTTCTTTACTTTACATGACATGAAAACGAAATTTATCGAACACATCGACAATGTTCACCTGAATATTGCAAATTGCTACTTTTGTGTTAGAAATATGTTGTCATGGCAACAGCATGCTTAGAATAAAGCTCAAAATTTGTCTTTTTCAGGTCATTTTAAACATTTCCTTCGGTGAAATTTTTTAAAAATTTTGCATAAAAGATAATACTTGTATAATGATTTTTTCCCCTTAATTTAAAAAATTAAATCGATACGTTTCTTAGAAAATTTAAAAAACGTCAAAAATCAATATTAAAAATTTTCCTTTCGATTTAATTTTAAGAAAAAAGGATATTGCACTTGTTGTGCCGATATTTAAAAATGTGCAAAGTTTTAAAAAAAATTACAGAAGGAACACAGAGAAATTTGGATTTAATTTTGGCAGTTTTTACTAGATTTTTACGCGAACAATTTAATACCCCAACTGACGTGTACATGCATTCTCCATAAAACACAGGCGGCCCAATCTCAGAATGAATGATCATGTGTTGCGGGTTTTTAACGGTTTTTATAAACAAATTTATAGTCAACCAAAACTATTTTAAAAACATTCTTAAATTAGTCAAATAAATACATTTTAAGACTTTTAACAATAAAATATAGTTGACATGATAGTATAATACCTTTACATTCTTTTAATTACTCCATGAGCTCATTTAGAGCGGTTGATGTAACATTTTCTGTGGCCTACATTGTGTGTGCTCATCTATATATAATATAACAGTAAAAGGCTAATCACTGCCGGCACGACCGCATCGCCTTCAAAGTCAAATATCTCCGCTCAAACTTCTCGTACGCCAAAACAAATTCGATTACATCTTTTCACAAAGATTTCTCTTTCTAAATAATATGGTTTGATCGTAGCTTGGGCAAATTTAGCGACGAACGGAACCAAAATCTCCTCAATTTCGGATACTGTTCAAAATACTTAGGGCTGCTCGGGCACGATCGTGGACGTGACGTAATCAATACATACTGACAATAACGCCTTACCCGGGGTGAGACAGCATATCAAATTCAACGATAGTTTGTCGCCTTATGCTGTCCCACCCCACGTAAGGCGGTAAGGCGTTATTGTCAGTATGTATTGATTACGTCACGTCCACGATCGTGCCCGAGCAGCCCTAAGTATTTTGAACAGTATCCGAAATTGAGGAGATTTTTGATTCCGTTCGTCGCTAAATTTGCCCAAGCTACGATCAAACCATATTATTTAAAAAGAGAAATCTTTGCGAAAAGATGTAATCAAATTTGTTTTGGCGGACGAGAAGTTTGAGCGGAGATATTTGACTTTGAAGGCGATGCGGTCGTGCCGCCAGTGATTAGCCTTTTACTGTTATATTATATATAGATGAGCACACACAATGTAGGCCACAGAAAATGTTACATCAACCGCTCTAAATGAGCTCATGGAGTTATTAAAAGAATGCAAAGGTATTATACTATCATGTCAACTATATTTTATTGCTAAAATGTATTTATTTGACTAATTTAAGAATGTTTTTAAAATAGTTTTGGTTGACTATAAATTTGTTTACAAAAACCGTTAAAAACCCGCAACACCTGATCATTCATTCTGAGATTGGGCCGCCTGTGCATAAAACAACAAGGCATGACTTTTTTGAAATCGCAACTGAATATAAATTTATATGATTGATATACTGTCTATAACTGTGTCGGTTAATGGTCAACTAAGAGGCGGACCATTTGATTTTTGAGGGGGGGGTGGAAGATTCAGTCTGTGCAAGAATTTTTTTTCCGCCCAGGCGAACGAGACAGATATTTTTTTCCTGTAAAAGTGCAGCGCAAGATATTTTTTTCCCAATATGTTTGGCCGCAGGATATTTTTTTTGCCTCTCATAATAACGGCTTACAGTAACTTTAGGCTTTCATATAGCTATCGTAAGAGAAGTTAGCCAGGGTTTTCAGTCAGAGGAGGCCGAGAACTGAATCCCAAGAGTGGCCAAGGAATTTTCATTGTGCTTTATTTTATATGGTTATGTCTTAATGTTCCCCACACTAAAGCGTGCAAGTTTACTTACAAAGAATGTATAACTGCACCAAAACCTAAAACATGCAGGGATAGAGTAGAGTACTCGAAAATAGGGGAGCGTACAGTATATGAATGACCTGTAACCTTGGGGGGTTCGGGGGCATGCTCCCCCGAGAAAATTTTAAAATTTGAACCTCGGAAATGCTATTTCCTGCGTTTTCAGCCATGGATAATTATCTTAAGCCCAGATTTTCTCAGGGGGGGAGGGCAACAATTTTGCCAGGAAACACCACTGGCTATCGTATGTCAGAGGCTCCAAAGGCGGTAGAATCCCTGTGATGTTATCCACTGTTCACCCCGTGTTCTTTTAAGCAAATGTGTCTGCTCAAAAATGCAAAATCTTGCAAGCCTGTGGACACAATACTGAAGTGAAGGCATCAGTAGAGTTACATGTAGAAAATTTTTTTTTGAGCGCTCTCTTTTGCATGATATTTTTTTTTCTCGATTGTGTGCTGCATGATTTTTTTTTATTTCTCTTTGGGTTGCAGGAAATTTTTTTTCGAAATCTTCCACCCCCCCCCTCAAAAGTCAAATGGTCCGCCCCTAAGCGTGTATTATACATCTAAAAATGGCAAAGATATTTAGGTAATTACTGGTTATGACTTCTTGGTATTAAAAGGTTTGTCAAAATTCGTCCCGTGCGAGTTTGTACTATCGTCGGATGTTTTCGCAAAATGCCCGTTCAAATTTCAGTTTTTATAGCGGTATGTTTGGAGTTTCGGCCTTGCTCATTTTACCCGTAGAGGTCTCATTATTTAGGTTATCTTTATTGTCATAAGTGCTGCTAGACTGGGGGGAAAACACTGCAAATTCTTGAGGAAACTTTATATCATATCCCAATGTTCGCGATCGAACTTCGCGGACGGCGGTTCAAAAAACATCCAGAATACCGTTTGAAAAAAAACAAGTTTACATTATCTTCTTTTGAAACATCACATACAAGTACCGTTTTGGCTTTTAGAACTCTTTTATGCTTTCAACTAAAGCAAAGTTCACACTTTTGTTTCAAAAAAGAGTTCCATATAAAAACACAACGTTCGTTCGTATTTTAGTTTACATATACACGAAGAACGTAACCTCGGAAATAAAACCGTAGGGATCGCGAGCCACCTTAAAACAAAATTTTCGCTGGCGCCCGCTATTTACTGACGAGCGACATCAAATTTCCCACCTGTTCTGCATACATATATGTTATTTACCGGCAGCGTCGGTCCAGATGAGAATAACTGTACCCTCGGTCTTGAAAACCAACCTCGCCCTTTGAGCTTGGGCCGTTTCCAAGACCTCGGGCACAGTTTTTCTCATCCGGACCTCGCAGCCGGTAAATAACATATATTTATTTTTTATCAGACTTAAAAATGAAATTCATTAAAATTCCAGTGTTGCTTGTGAACTAGTTTGAGATCAGTGCAGTTGTGTATTTTTAATTAAAGCGAGGCTGACAAAAATTGAAATGTTGAAAGATATAAAACACGACTGAATACGAAAACTCGAAAAAAGTTTGCAAGAAACACACATATAGTTTCAATAAATTTACATGCTTTTTTCATGAATATGGTTGCAGAAAAGCCTTTGGAATTAAAAGTTTTAAGCCTGGCGTTTTGGCTTTGACAACTTCAGTTACTTCTGACAACGACAGGTTCATGTTCAGATCCGATCAAGAACAGATAAAAAAGAATCTGATTTGATTTAATCAACGTGTTTCTACTAAAAGGACAATGAATAAGGTATGCAATTTTTATATTTTTGTATTTTTTCTAGTCGTTTCACGATAATATGCTCGAAAAAAGTCTTTTTAAACACAGACTTTTAGTTTGTTTACAATATTTTATATCAGTGAAAAATGCCTAACACAAATGATCGAGATTGTTTTCACTGCTGCCGTTAAACCTTTTTTAAATGGAAAAACATTTCTTTTACTATCTGTTTAATTTAAAGGGTATTGGCAACAAAGAATTTTATTGCCTCATCTAAAAGAGCATGAACAAATAAGCCGATTGCCCGTTTGATACTCTATTCGATCTCATCTGGTTCCGAAGTTATGCGCAAAAATGTGCAAAATATAAATTGCTGATTCAGCACAACGTGTGACGTCAGTAGTAGGGAAAGTATGTTTATTGAATAGTAAACTGAAGCATAGCTCAGTTATTATGGGCCTAAATCAAATGAAATTTTGCGTACTGATTCTACATGTTGAGACGCATTGTAAAACACTTCTAATTTTGTTGCCACGGTAACAAGGTCGTTCTTAGGCCCCTTGCGCCAATTTTATAAAACAACTTTATTCATGGTACATATAAGAATAAAATAATATCAAAAGTATGTGTACCATACCAATGCATGCGAAAAGTTTACTTGCATGATAATAATTCGAAAATGACATACACAAACAGGTAGGCAATTTGTCGACGCTGTCCAAAAATAGCGGCTCATTTCTTCTTTGAGTTTCCATTTTCGCGTCGAAGAGCAAAAATATAGACTTTCGGAGAAAATTTTAGCTGTTTACTATCAAATATGTTTGTGAAACAGTTAATAATCTCACTGAGGAAGGCCAACGGTTTCTGAAAAGCTAAAGGACGTCGAAATCAGCTTTGGAATAGACTATATTTTCACCGGGGAAACATGAACAAAATGGATATTTACATCAACACTAAATTTTGCTGGTGCCTACAGAGCTAGTTGGATTAAAACAGATGTTAAGAAGTAAGTGAAAATGTGAACTTTGTGAATTATACTTTCATTAAAATGTGTCAGAAGGTTTGCTAATGTCAAACTACACGTGTGACAGAGCTGTCAGTATACCCATATTTCAATGTTTATGTTGAAATGACCTATCTTCTTTGAGGTATAGCTTAAAATTTAGGGTATGCTCATCACTTGAAACTAGCTTTAAATCAAAGTTTTATCTATAGTCTTTATATTAGAATTAAAATCATTCATGGGAAAAATGTGCCAAAGGGTTGAAATTGCTCTTGTAAATGTACACTATTTTTGACATGCTTGGGTTAGTATTTTGAAAAGGTTTTCTGGAAGGAAAATATGTCTTGAACAATACTGGTTGACCCTTAAATTATAACTAGTGTTATGTAAATCAAAGAAAATTGAAAAAAATCTGGTCCATACACAATATTTTGGAACCTATGAGATCCCGAATGGGGCTTATTTCAATGTTGAACCTGTTTACCTGGAAAAACTTAGAAAATTGAATAAGTCAAGAAATTGACTATGCTCATCACCCAAAATCAGGTTTTTTCTAATTGCTTTTTCACTTGGGTTTGTAGCAATGCCAGTTATGCGACCACGAAAAATGCGCGCGGCACTTGTTTTGGACACTGAAGATGGTAACATTTGATGTTGTCATATATTGCCATCCTCTTATCGTAGCATAACTTAACTTATTTTAGTGAATTTGTTAAAGAGTTGTGTTCACTATATGCTTGTAGTATCTAAGATTTTTTCATAGCATTATATGTTAAATTTAAGTTCTGTTTTCTTTTATTTTTAGGTGATAGTATCTGTTCATTCCAGTGTTGGTATCACATTTTGGACACGTTTCAATTATTATTTCACATTCCTTTATTCAAATATCCAAATAAATGGAATAGGACATCAAGCTGGAGGACTAGATCCTGTTTTCAAACTTGTTTTTTGTAAGAATAGAAAATAACAACTTATTCTGTGTTGTTCTAATAAAAACCATTGTTTTTGATATGCATATATTTTAATTTTATTCTTTGTTAAAATGTGTACCAGGAATACTGAAATCTTTCAGATCAGCTAACAATACCTTTATAACTTATATAGCCAAGTGTTCTATCTATTTTTGTTCAGATTAAACAAATAATGGGTAAAATATTAGATAAAATTTTTTCCAAAAATATGAGCTTGCCTGTTTTCAAAGCATAAAAAGCAATAAAATAAAGCAAAAGTACTTATTTTTTAGTTAAAACCTTTGGAATGCACAGCTTAATGTTTTCCATGAAATATTACAAAGTTTCAGTTCATTAAAATGTTGTTTTATCAGCTTTAAAACCAGATAAATCCTCGAAACACTCCTGATGTATGTCGCCATATTGATTTTCTGCGCGCATGCGCACACAAATTGCCTACCTGTTACATACACATAGTTAAGTTAAGAACTAGTTATTCAAAATCAATGTAAGGGGCCTGGGAACGACTGTGTTACCTGGACAACAAAATTAGAAGTAGTTTCCCATGCGTCTCATCATGTACTATCCGTATGCAAAATTTCATTTGACTTGAGCCAATAATAACTGAGCTGTGCTTCAGTTTACTATGCAATGAACATACTTACCCTACTAATGACGTCCACGTTGTGCTGAATCAGCAATTTATATTTTGAACATTTTTGCGTATCACTTCGGAACCAGATGAGATAGAATAGGGCAGTAAACGGCCAATCGGCTAATTTTTTCATTCTCTTTCAGATAAAGCAATCAAAATTTTTATTGCCAATACCCTTTAAGCTGTAAGAGCTGTTCACTTTTAAGTGGCCGAATACATGAGCATTTAAAAAATATATACAGTTTTCTCGGCGTGTTAAAGTTTTATACATGTCAAATAACTTTCCGACTTTTAGTTGCATTCTACAAAAATTATCAATTCTGGTGAACATCGTGATTAGTTTGAAGTCTTTAGGGCTTGATGCAATTCATTTTCGTATCTGACTATCGTTAGGCCACGTTTTCAAACTTTTTCGGCAGATTTTTTCGTCTAAAAATTGTTTCACTCCCGCGAGAATCAGAGCAGGCAATTGCATTTCACAGCGGGCAGTTGCATGCGTTTCAGAGCGGGTCGGATGCAAAAAACCGGCCCGTTCTGAAAGGCTCATCAACCAATCAGATTACTTCATTAATATTCTTACTGATAAAAAATAAGTTTTGTTATCTTAATTAACTTAATAATGATCATATTGTATTAAACCAGATAAAACAGCGAGACGTTTGGTTGACTATAAGATCCTAAATGACATAATACAGTCGGACCCTTTCCTGACCAGAAATATCAATGAAGCACTTGACAGTATGGCAGGATCGAGCCCAACATTTCAGTTTTATTAGTCTTGCCCAGCAATATTAACAGGTTCCCTTAGCAGAAGAACACCAAGTCAAAACCAGTCCCTTTTGATCGCCCACATGGTTCTGGGAATGGTCACGAACGGGTTATGGATCGATTAAATGGCAGCTCAGCCAGCCTTTCATTGCAATGCGAAAAGTGGTGAATCAAATTCCCCCAGACCATTCGTTGATCATCTTCGAAACTTATAGAACAAGTGTTTGATGCCCTGCGACAGCATTGTCTAGGAATGAAGGCAAAAAAGTGTTCTCTGGTGATGAAGGAAGTAACATCTTTGGGACATCTGATTATTTCTAAGGATGGAGTTAGACCAGCAAAGGGGCAAAGGAGATGCAAACAATTCTTGGCCTGCTCCAATTCTGTAAACGAAGTACAACAATTTCTTGCAGCAGCATTTGAGTGACACTGATCAAAAATTAAGAATGATAGCTAAAATGTGTAGAAATTTTCGAAACATTGGAGGAATATGGAACGAGCAACTTCAATTGCATCCGCAATTTTTTATGTTGAGCCGTTACTATTCCCAACTCGCCAACAATTTTTGAAGACGAAATATTAAAGTGCCTCGGCAAAATTTCCCTTGATAACTTATCAAAATTCACTTGCACTCTCCCTTCCGCATTCAAAGAGGTCTAGCGACGCCCCTTTCCAAACTTCTTGAAACGAATGCCAACTTTGCGAGGAATTGTGGAAAACTGATGCAAACAACATTGGTATAGGCGGGAAATTAGCACAGGCAAATCCCATTCAACGGTGAATTCCACTCAGTAGCATATTATAGTACTACGCCTTACCAAACGAGAAAAATCTTACTCAACATATGACCGAGAAGTACTAGCTGTAAGGGACACTCGATATCTACTGTTATTACGTTATCACTTATTCTGCCTTAGTACATACCACAAGTCCTAGTAAATATATTGGAAGTTAAAGACCCTTGACGGCGTCTGCGTACGCAGATCATGTTGCACCCACGCATTTTATCGACGTACATCCATGTAAGTTCCGGGAAACAAGAACACGGTTCCAGTGATAGACACGGCGACTGTACCTTGCGAAATCGATATAGCTGACTATCTGCATCTTTCAAGACGAAGGCAGAAGCTTGTGTGTATGCTCTAAACAGTATAGACGTTTTATATAGTTAGAAGCAGGTATCTACTATAACCGTCTAGTATGTCCGACAAGGAAACAACACAAATTGATTTCCCATCGAAGTTTGACGACGCTCAAAAAGCAATTAAAGCCTTGAAAAGTACAATGGACGAAGAAGCGTCATCGCTATTTGAAGAGAGAAAAGAGTTTGAGGAAATGAGAAAGAAATTAGACAGCGTGCATTTTGAGAAACACATCAAGTTAAATGTTGGCGGTTTGATATTCAAGACATCGTTGGACACATTGGTTAAAGATTCTGACTCGATGTTGGCGGCCATGTTTTCTTCGAGATATGATGTGACGCCTGATGAAGAAGATGGCGCATATTTTATTGATAGAGATGGAACGAATTTCAGGTAGGTCGCTGTTTATATAATATTATAAGCATCGACAATCGCATATTCGTCATGTTTGACTGCTGGGCTTGCTATTTATGATAAACTATAACATTTGTGAGACATTCACTTATACGTGTACGCGTATACGGAAACGAACAACCAGTAAGCCTGCATTCCAACAATTTGATATTGACATTGTTATTTCTCACAAAATTTTAACCATCGATCGATTATATACCGCGTAATATCCAAGCAGGTCTGCCCTAATCTGAAGCCTTGCATTCATTGCCCAGGACTACAGGCAATCAAGCCGGAGTAAAATATACCTGGACATGTTTCGCGAGATTAATATATTATATTGAATTGAATTTGACCAAAAATGATGCGCATACTAATGTCTTATTTTAAACTAAAAAATGTACACGCGTGTTAATTGCATAAAATCGGACTCATTGTACAGGCCCTAGGTGGAAATGATTTTCGATTTGGGGACGAAAAAATAGGTGGTCAATATAGACTATATATTAGGCTATCGCCCGTATTCTAAAAGCTCACTCATACTCACACTCAATGCATGAGTGCAGGTTCGAATTCAATCTGAGCTTCTTTTGAGTGTTAATGCTGTTTTTATATAGCTGGAAGGCTAGTGTCATACCTTACTCGGTGACTACTCACCCTCCAGCTATTCAAAACAGCATTGACACTCAAGAGAAGCTCAGATTGAACCTCCACTCATTGAGTGTGGATGTACTCACCGTCCAGCTATTCAAAAACAGCATTGACTCTCAAGAGAAGCTCAGATTGAACCTCCGCTCATTGAGTGTGGATACGAGTGAGCTTTTAGATTACGGGCGCATAACTATGAATGCGCCGTGTTACGAAATCGTAATTTATGAAACAGCCTATAGCTATACATATGCGAATTATAGGGATTTGATGTATGAATATATGCCTCCTCGATATTTCAGGACCCAAAATATAACATGTACATCCCAATTAATACTCGAGTATAAATATATTTGTACATGTACATTTCTCGTTCTTTAAAACAGAACTTCACAACTATATGTGGCATTGCAACGGGGCATGGGTTTACAAAATCATGAGTTATAAATTTCAAATATATATTCCGTCATTCCCGGTTATGAAGCCGCAGTTTATAAATTTAAACTACAGTCTATTCGAACCAAACCTCTCTTCCTTTTTTCATAAGGTTTCCATGATGGATCTATGCAGCACGGTAATTATTTCAACACGCAAAATATTACACGAATGTACGTACGCTTAGTTTCGATACTTGTGAAATAACTATAAATGTCGATCTGAAATACATGTACATTCCTCGTTCTGGCAAGCCACATATGCTGCACTATTATTGCGGTATATAAAGTATATAAATTAAATGTTTTCGCTTAATTTTTCGCCAAAATGAGAGCGATATTTGCCTGAAAGTCATTATGTCACAATTAGCTAGATTCACTGGGCCGGCAGAACTGGTGAAAATTTGGAATCCATGCTAACCTGAAATTCAGGCCCTAATTTTAAATAGGGCCTGACACAAAACCTGTCTAAACAGTGGGATTCCCGTCCATCTGGTAGACGGGGAATTTAATTGGTTGATCAGCATCATGAAAGATTTTGATTGGTTGCAAGTTCGCATAAACAATAGTTTTAAAAATAGCTCGGTCAAGGCGACAATTAAGGTCAAACGCATGTATCAAATTCCATTATCGAATTTCTTCGAATTTCATTTCTTCGAATTCCATTATCGAATTTCTTCGAATTTCAAACAGTATTTTGAAAAGGCTTTATCAAAATCTTTGATGAAGTTTGGACAAACGACGCTGAAAAAAAACGTCAAAACTAGTCATGTATTCGAAAGCTTGTTGTTGACAGCCAAGATGTCTTTGCTGTTCTGCCAACTGGCTTCGGAAAGTTAGTCTTATTTAATATCAGGTCCTATACCGCCGTTGTTTTCTGAGCTACATCGCCTTTTTCGTGGTGGGATTGAGAATTTTGTTCTTGCTGTTGTAAGCCCGTTAGAGTATATCCGCGTGCAGCAAGTTGAGACCTTGAGAAAGCATGGCATTCAAGCAGTGCACTGAACTTACTAATGGCTTTGTTTGCTGTTCGGTTAAATAGGGAAACTAATCTCTTAATTATATAAAAGTACCTTAAATTTTTAAGTTTATTAAAGAGCAAAATGCCCACTCTGCGGACATGTTTATGAGACGCGTTGGGGATCTTTTGCAGTGAAAACGCTCACTCAACACTAGTTCCCAAATTACGGATTTGATTGTGCGGTCAATTATGTTGCGCACGTTTGCCTCACTGAGCTATACTATATTACTGGAAGACCTGCTCGGGGTAAAAAAGTGTCCGCAAAAACATGGCGGATCTTACGCCATTTCCATGACAACACATACTTTATTTTCATGGTAATTGCCACTGACCATCCGCGATCCTAAGCTTCCTAAGATGTCCTTACCCCCCTGGTTTTTGCACAGATATATTTAATAATATAAAGATATTTCAAGTTTTCTGTTGTTTTTGAGCAATAATCTTAACATTTCCCTCGCACATTACTTGTTTTACAACGCCGGTTTGCTTCGCTCATGTGGATGCAGCACTTTACTACAGAGAAACTAAAAAGAAAGACTATAAATTCTTTCAGGTAAGATTCACGAAACTTTTTTATATTAAACTTTCTAGACGACTAGCTAATCTGAGACTCTGAGTCACTCAGTCCACTAGACCCTTTACATTATGTCAAAAACTCATCATCCTATTAATATATACAGCAAATATTTCATACATAAAAATATTGTTAATGATTAAATATTGTGGACTACATGAAATTATGTTGTTTTCAGTGCCAGCAATGGCCTGTCCTTTGTGGTTTTAATATTGCCAGACTGCCAGATTTTAATTACTTGTATATAAATTGTGGTTGTGTACATGTTCATAAAGGTTTAATATGGTGTGAAATTTATATACTTGCCCATCATAACGCATAATTAATATATATAGATAAGCACAAGAGCAGAGAGACTTGAGTAGAGGAGGCCATCTACATTTGAAAAGGTGCATGCCCTGTCCTGATGAGCCCTATCCTGATGAGCCCTATATAAAAGACTGTCTTTATTATTTTACTCTGTTTGTCTAATGCCAGATGATATTAAGAGGAGAGTGCTCACTGCTGCCTCGCAGTGGGTCAATTTAATACACTATCTGCCAATGAGCAGATCCTGAGATATATAGTCAGCCCATTAAGCTGCAATGTACCCAAATGAACCAGCTACTTTCTTACTGGGACTGCAGAACAGGGGGACCATGCCCCCCCCCCCACTTTTTCAGTGGATAATAAAAAAATACTGGATAAAATCTGGACAGCCTGCCTATGTGAAATAGCTCCCGATCTATGCTATCCTGCCCCCCCCCCCAACACACACACACACACACTTTTAAACAGGCTCCACGGTTCGTTTTTTTTTATTCTATCGGTGAGACTAAATTCAGTTGTTTTACTCATCAAGAGAAGAGTCTTAAAAAATAGATAACATTTTACGTATATAATTTGTCTATTCAGAACTATATAAAACTATGTACTTTTACACAGTATATGATCTCATAGTTACATGGCATTCTAACATTGGAGATGGTGATGTGCGATTGCTCTGTGAGAAATTATGACAAAATTTGCTAATAATAGTTTGACATATTTTAGCAGTTAGTTGGGAATGTAATTGCATTACTGAATATGAAAACATGACACTTAATTTAGAAGCTCATATTATATATGATCTTGGTAAAAACAGATCATGTAATTGCACTCTCCCCTTGACTAGTAAAATTGTCTGACATAATACAGTAAGGCAAAAATAAAACAGTAAGGCACATCAAAACACATTTCCACTTGAAGGGTTAACATATGTGTATATGATATTTTGTGGTGTAAAGATGTATAATGTATTATGATAATAATAACGTCTTTTATTTTGTAGAAATGATCTGTTTAATATACAAAAGAGATGGCACAGGCGTCAACATGCAGAAGAAAATGCAGAACAATTACAAAATGAAGTTATAATTATAATACCATGCATAACAATTAATTATAATTAATAAATAATTATATGATTATCATAACTTTATTGAAGTGTAAATAAGTTTTATAGCAATTAAAATTATACATTTTTGTTTTTTAAATTGTTTTCTGCTAACAATTTTACAAAAAGTCAAATACACCTTACACCCTTCCAGAATGTATGTCATTTTGGCTATGGAGCCTTTTTTTCATGTATGTGGCATGAGTTTTAGTCAAATGTCTCAATTATGAAAATGACTCTATAGTCTATAGCCTATAGCTTATAGCCTAGAGCCAAGGGGACATAATTTCTGGAAGCATGTAAAATACAGTATGTTCAGTTTCCAAAGATGTGGCTTGGTACTGTATTCTGCCACCCAGAAAGGAGTGTGTGCTTGTGGAATAAATCTGCAATAGAAAAGAAAAAATGAATTATACAGGTTGTACAAGAATCCACCAGTAACTTAATTATAGCATATGATCAAAGTAAACAAAAGAATTTGACCTAACATACTCCTCAGCTTAAACCAGGGGTATCAGAACTATGAGTGTACTTAATATAAAAGTACATTATTTATTCAGGCCATCCTGGGAATGAGGTGTGATCACACATGTATGCCTTGGCACATACCTCAGCTAAACCTTATTACCTCAGCTTAGGGAGAAGTGTGATTTATCTCAAGCCTCTATATTACTATTTATAAGATACAAAAATCAAGAAGTATCCTCAACCATGCAAGAAAGCTAAGTAGAGACTACCTTCCCAGATCAGCTTCCAGCAGCCAGCTTATACATAAGTGGTGCATAACACAAAACCTAATTCCCTCTTTTAAAAATAGTCTGATAATAGATGCCAAATAAGATATAAAAGTCTAAATTGAATATGAAAATACGTTTTTTATCTTTGTAAATCCGAGTGTAAATCCATGTATTTCAAGAGTTTTTGAAATTGGTTTGTCGTCTTTCACGGGCGATATTAAACACGTACGACTTGGATATCTTTCACCAAATGGTCAAAGGCAGAAAGTTTATCTCGAAAACATTTTAAAAAAGGATTCAAAACAACGAGAAGTCGAGAACTATATTATCTGCAAAAATGTTTTGCAAAAACCAGAGGTGTGTGAAAACTGCCGTGGGCTCAGAATTGCGCCTGGTCAGTGGTAACTACTATAAGAATAAAGTAAGTGTTGTCATGGAAATGGCGTCATTTTTCATCAAAATCCGCCATGTTTTTGCGGACACTTCGTTGACTGAACGAAGTATTTTCAATTCAATTCAATTTATTAAAAGTTAAAAACAAACAAATTACACACTACACTAACCCGCAAGTAGTTAAAAACTAATCTAGGCGGGTATAGTGTTGATTAGAATATATATAGCACATAGTCAGTGTCGAAAAGGTACATTATTGTGCAAAATAGAAAGAAAAGAAAATAAACAACAATTAATTAACGGCCTAAGAAGAAAAATATTTTTAATAACTTATATGTTTTATCTTTGATATTATCGTAGTGACATCAACATAAACATCCTCGCTTTCCAAGACCTGGAAAAGTATTGCATTTATTTTTCTTTTAAAAACACATTTACGTCGGTTTCGTAATTCATTAGGAATACCATTCCAAATTTTAGTTCCGAGTCGAGAGAATGAGTTCTTTTTTTGATTCTGATTCGATTGCTGAGTAAAATAATTTCCACCAATTGCAGATCTTGTGTTGTGACTATGTATCTGGTTTACATTTGTAAACATTTTTAATAGGTTTTGTGGTGCTAGAGTATTGGCTATGTCGTGCATCAAAATACTCACAGTTTTATAATAGAGCATTCTTATCGGTAGCACATTTGCATTTACAAATAATGGTATGGCATGTTCTCTGTTTGTTGCAAAGAACATCAGTCGTAAAGCACGTTTTTGAAGAATCAGTATTTTATCCAGATTCGTCTTAGCTGTCTGCCCCCATATAGATAAACCATATGAAATATATGGATGAATTTGTGAACGATAAATATTTAAAAGTGTTGGAAAAGGAACAAAATGCCTCAATCGCAATATGATACCAATAGTTTTACTTATTTTAAGTGTTATATGATCAACATGAAATCTCCATGAGAGGTTACTATCAATCAAAATACCCAAATATTTCACATAATCTTTTTGCTCCAGTGAAATTAATGTATTTGTTTTATAGTCGTGAACTTTTAAGTTTGGTTTATGGTTTAACCTTTTTTGGTATGGATGAAATATAACAAAATTTGACTTTTTGATGTTTAATGTCAATTTATTTGCAAGTAGCCAGTCACAAATATATTCTAGTTGTTTATTAACAATAGTTTCAAGAGACTTTAAATTTTTGTCAGCATAAAGTAAATTGGTATCATCAGCAAATAAGAAGAAGTCCAATTTGTTTGAAGAATATTGTATATCATTAACATATATCAAGAATAACAAAGGTCCGAGTACAGATCCCTGTGGAACGCCACACTGTGTCTGTTCTTTATCTGATATATAGTTTCCTATTTGAGTTGTTTGTGATCTACCAATTAAATATGAAGAGAACCAATTATTGATAATACCCCTTACTCCATAGTGATTAAGTTTAGACAATAATATTTCATGGGTAACTGTATCAAAGGCTTTTTTAAGATCTATGAAAACACCACACGAAAAAAGGTTATTGTCCATATTTGTTTGTATTTTGTTCACGATATCAAGGAGAGCATGATTTGTAGAATGACCCTCTCGAAATCCATATTGCGATGAACATAATATGTTGTTTTGGTCAATAAATATTTTTAGTCTATTATACATAAGTTTTTCAAATATCCGATTTAAATTAGATAGTAACGAAATTGGTCTATAGTTTCCTGGTTCTTCTTTGTCATCGCTTTTAAAAATTGGCACGATTTGTGCATGTTTTAGTTGAGAGGGATACATGCCTGTTTCAATTGATGCATTCATAATAATTGCTAACGGTTTAGAAATAATAGTTCTTGCGCCTTTAAGGATTGGTGCTGCAAATGAATATAGTCCGTGAGCCTTATTGGCAGGTAATAATAGTATTTCCATTCTACTTCCAAAGGGGTAACAGCATCAAAGTAAAATGAATTTGTAGGAGAAGGATATGTAGGATATGTATGAATTTGTAGGAGAAGGAGAAGGAAGGTCCTCCAGTTATTATACAGCTCAGTGGTTTGCCTGGTATATTTAACGCGACAGATCGTTGTTTAACGTTAAATGATCGGAAATGATCGTTTGTTGTTGCCATGGTAACTCAAGAAGAGATCTTTGACTGTCAGTTGTCTTCCATTTTGTTTGCATTTCTTTGGTTTGTCATGGCCTTTTCCCCGTTCCTGCCAAGGTATGTTTGAGCAACAACAGCTCACCGAAATTATTAACTCTGCGCAATTCATGTTTTAATCTGAATTCATAAAATTTTGTCAAATCTAAAACGAGAGAGTTTTAGAGCAAAACCTGAGCTTTACAACGATATATAATACACGTTGTTTCATTGTAATTGCAGACTTTTGAACCAGGCTGTTTTCCCGTACGTATGCCATAGAGACAATTAAGTCATGTCTAAGGCTAAACAGCACTTCGATATTGGTGCGTGGTCAAGAGAAAAGAAGGCCAAACGTCAGGAAATTATTGCAAATAACCGTACAATTGTGGATTTGAAAGAGTGCATTAAAGCAAGTGAGGCAGAAATTAAAGTTCTCAAGAGGAAGGTAGCTCTAATTAAAAAATGTTTTTTCTTGTAAAAGCCTGGTTTGCATGCATGCTCACTTTCCAATTCTGTTGATGAGATTGCAAATTAACTAGAAGGGTTTAAATTTGATTTTTAAGTGGTGCTTATATTCATTCTATATTTATATTATGATTTTATATGACCTTAACTTTGTGGACTGGTTGTTACTCATGTACATAAGCATGCAATTTGGCAGACCGGTATTAGCAATTTGCAAGATCTACTTAGGGACCAAGTCTATATTCACATAATACCAAGCATAACTTTGAACAAAGTTATAAATTCTACCAACTCACCCGTCTCAGATAATGTCGCTTATGGCAGTTCTTTCTAGACTGATAAATGGTCAAATTGGCATGTGCATATCTGTAGGCATAATGAACACCCTAGTGAATTGCTAGTTATAAAAGAAATACCTAAAATACCATGTGTAAACCTAAAATAAAATGAGAAACAGACATTCTGTTTATTTTTCAGAGAGGATTTTTGGCAAATGAAAAAGTCAAGCTCCCTCGTAATTCCCATCCAAAGTCTTCGTCAGTTATTAACCAATCCTGTAGCGAAAAGCTTGATATTCCTGAGAGTACTGCACGGAAAAGAAGAACGTTGATGTTTGATCATGCAGAAAGAATTAACGCTAGGTCTTTTGACAACGAGAGCTTGAAACTGAAGTCTGCTCTGGATGGCATTTGGAGTACTTTAATTAATTCTGCTAGTGCACACGAGATGAAATCGTACATGGAGAAGTCTCCATTGGGTCTCACTAATGTTATTCCTTCCATTGTTAACGACGCAGTGCAGGTTAAATATGAACATAGCCAAAAGAACCTGGTGCGGTCACTAGGAGTCCTTTATGAAGGTGGCATCTCCAGCAGAAAACAATATAACAGGAAGCGAAGTCGGGAAACATTTGAAACTGGTCAACATGGTAAAAAGCACCAAATAACGTACATGAAAGGATGCAAAGTCCCCAAGCTGATGGAATACAAAAAAGTGAGGCAGTTTGTAAATTCAATGGATATTGGTGAACTCAAACAGATTCCAGAAGCGAAAAAATATATCGGTTCTTGACAAACAGTTGGACCAACAATCAGACGATGAACTGAACAGTGGTGAGCATGCTGTGCTAGGTTGTTATAGAGACTTAGAGATTCTCTTAAGCTTGCAAATTTGGACTTAGTTATAGATAATGCACGACCTGGGTTTCTTAACTGGTTCAGTTCCCTAAAGGCATGTTTCAGGTATCCATAGGAGCAGACGGGGCCCAATTTGGTAAATATAACCAGGCAACAGCTGGTCTTATTTCTTTTTTAAATGTTGCCGATAGAGTTGGAAGTTGTGATGAAAACACGCTGGGGATTTTTCCCAATTTCCGGCCATTTCTTTACCACGATCTGCTTGTGCAGCGGCCTCATTAGTAGGCTTTTAATGCGGGCCGGAAAAGCCTGTTCGCAGGCTAAGTGGGAAGTGTTTTGAAAATGGCTGAGCTTGTGCGACAAGACATGTTCGAAGCTGTACTTCTGAGAGGTTTAGATTCGTCAAAAAACGATCTAATAAAATCTGGTTTAGACTTTTGGTCGACAAAGGATGCCATAGACGAGTTAAAGAGACTTATTCCTTTGGTAGCTAAGAAATATTTGGGAAAATACGGCGAAGGACAGAAATTCACAGTTGTGAAAGCATTTCCCATGCTTTCCCGCATTGCACAACGTTGGTATAAAACATTTATGAGAAGAACGATTGCTAAATGTGGAGTACGAAATCCTTGGAGAGTTACATTTTCCGAGTACCTCAGTATAGATCTATTCAATATCATGCAACAAATCATTGTACGAAGCTCGTATGGAGTTATCTGTATGTCAACAAAGAAACGCATTACGATTGTTTTCTTCAACGATGCCAGGGTTAGGAATGTTTTTTGCGAGTTAATGGACTGCAAAATCCTAAAAAAAGATTTTCTCAAAAGGTTGGCAAAAGGGAAGGGGAAAGTAGAAGCTGTTATAAACACAGAGAAACAATTTGGTATAACTTATTTCTTGGAGAAAGAAGAAATAACATTTGATTTCTATTATGGAATGTGGAATCAATATGACTGGCCACAACATGTGTAAGACTATAAGTGGACCGGTTTCGTTTAAATGTATGGTTGAATTTAACGTTTCTAGCAGACTAATAATGGTTTGATGCTCGATAAATACCTGTCTGTTTATGCGGGGTTGTCGACAGGATTTATCTTAGCCAATGAGCTGCAATGCAAGTTTCACAGTCTCAAAACAAGATTTGGATTTTCTCGGCTAACTAATTATGCACCAGTCATTTGAAACCTTGCGAACCTCCACCTCACACATAAACCGGGAGAAAATGGTATACTATCATTGAATTTTACATACTACAAATTGAATTCCCCCGGTATTCACTGAGGTGTGGGGTCGGGAGTATGAAATTGACTGATGCAGTAGGGGCTGTTCATATAATCCCACTTACCGAGACGTCTTGCCTAGAGAGACGAATATTTCTGTGAGTTCATATGGAGTATTTCGTCTCGCTTGCCGAGATGAAAATACAATGTAGTTCTATAATTAGCGTATGCAAAACTTCTACATTTCAGTCAAGCAACACAAATATTTAGCGATTTTAGTGTTTTTCTTTGTTTATTTACGAGAAAAAGGAATTGCTTTAGGTGCATATTTAATACTTGTTTACAAAACAAACATAAAACAAAGTAGAAAGTGTTAAATTAAATGGTAAGACTTGTTTGACTTCATCCCGGTAAGCGGGCTGGCGTGTTCATGTGGAAAATATTTCATCCCGCCTATCTATGATCTCGGCAAATTCAAGCGAGATCTCGGAAAGCGGGCCAGTTCGCTTTCTCATATGAACACAATGCAAAATTTTGTCGGAAAATAACTAAACGGCAAGATTATCGGTAAGCGAGACGTCCGGGTGAGCAGGATCATATGAACAAGCCCTTAGAGCTCTACTTAGAATTATACAATTCAGCTGATTGAACATATTACATTGGTGTTAATATGCTGATTTACATCACGCTTTCGAATCAAAACATTGCCAACCCCTCGTTCAACTTTTGTTGCTAAATCCTATAATAAACCCCAAAATGTATAGGCAAAATGTGTGGTATCGTACGTGGTACCCTATTGAGTTAAGAATGCTGGTATTGCCCATCCCTACTATTCAGACTATCGTGATTTTAACCATCTAAATCTGTGCATGCAGGCTGTCAAAGGCACAACCATATATTGATGACATCAAATATTGAAACTGTTAACATCAGTTTGTAAAATATTTAATAGCATAAAATACAAGTGGATGTATTATAACATACATTACATATTTTTGTTCTAGTTTTTAACATTTTTGTTAAAAATACAAAAGCTGCATTTCAATAAATAGTTAAAAACAGCTAAATTTTGCACAATATTACAAATATATAAAATTATATTAACAAATGATCTTTTAAATAGGTATAACTAGCTTGAAAAAAGCTTTTATTGATAAAATTAGCTATATAGGTTTATAATGCGCAATAACCCAATTTCCTAGCCTCAGCTGTAAACTTACCTTGATCGATGGAATCATAAATAATTTGATGAACTGAATGACTGCAAAAGTCACATTTTGGCTGTTCACTTACCTTCGGTGGGTCTAGCTATTTTGCGAGCCGCGGGCTGCGGGTAAGTTTTTGCGGGCTGCAGGTCAGTTTTTGCGGGCTGCGGGTTAAAACAATTGCGGGCCGCGGGCCAAATTGCTGGCCTAACTAATTTTTTGTTGCATGCCATATATGGCATGCAACTTTCATTGGTGAGCGTACCAGTCACGTGGCAAATTCGTAAAATACGACAAATACCGAGTTTTTCCGACGAGCATTTCATCACTCATGCTCGATGAAAGGCAAAGAAAAATGTTTGAGTGTTCGCGGGAAATTTACATAATTGAACGCCTTTAAAAATAGATCAAGGTAGATAAAGCTTTGCAGGTTTTAATTTTCCTTATATTCTGTTATTTGTTGTGATTCTGGAGCAGTTGTGGTCGCAATAAAATATTAATCATAAAATGAATGATTATTTATCATGCAGTCGTTTTTAATATTTATATCGTGAAGCCTGGCTACGCTATCAATATATACTATATTGTATGCAAAACTTCAAAACTACAGTACATTTTGTAAATAACATGAAATATATTAAAATATCAAACAAAATTCTCATTATACTATTGAAATTTAATACAACGAAATAGAATTCTACGTCGATAATTTCAATCATAGTTTAATAATTATTTTCAATCTATAGTAATTCGCCGTTTCCATGTTTTTTTTTTATACTTTCGATAAAGCTACAATAAAGATAAATTTGTAGGAAATAATATTATTTAGTTATAAAATAGTATAAAAGGAAATCTAACAGTCAATCGCTTTCGACAAAACCTTGACCTTGTTTATATTACCGTCGTTTGCAACTAACGATGAACAGTCGCTCATAAAAACATTGCCTATTCGCGTGAGAATCTTAAGTTTTCTTATTTTGACATAATAGCTATTTTTCAATAAATATATTGATATTAAACTTATTGAATCAATATTTTAAGTTTCAGGCCAGTTGTACCAAAAGTTATAAGCGGTAGCGCATTATAACCAGGGCACAGAAAGGGTCATACAGAAGCCCAATTTCTTGGTTTTTCCTATGATTTTCCAATGATTTTGGCGGTTAGCACTTTTTTCCATCCAGCAAACCGCCCTATCGATTTTCTAAAGTCGCTTTTTTGCATTTTTTTATTAATTCGATTAGGGTTAGAGTTAGGGTTGGGGTTAGGGGTTAGAGTAGGGACTAGGTGTAGGGTTTGTGTTAGTTACATAGCCATTTAAAGGCCGCTTTCCACTTCAACCGTATCGTACACGCGTAAAAACGCTCAGGTTGATGCAATACTGATGAAAACAGGATTGAACAATGTTTTGCTGCCCACATTGTTCATAGCTGTCAACAATATTGAACAATATTCAGGCTCAACAATAGTGTTCAATATTGTTGACAAGTGTGAACAATGTGGGCAGCAAAACATTGTTCAATCCTGTTGAGCAGCGGGCTCGGCGTTTTTTGCCGTGTACCGAAACGTAGCGTATTTCTTTGTTTCCTGAGCGCTAGAGTGGAACTAATGATTTCAACACAAAAGAAAATGCTACGATACGGTCGAAGTGGAAAACAGGTTTAACACCTCTTCTCTCTTCCGAAAATGACGTCAGGTCAGTTTGCTGGATGGAAAATAGTGCTACTATTAGGATTGGTGTACAGTTATCCCGGTCGAAACAGGTTTTAATGTCTGGTACGACTCATAAACTGAGATTCCATGATATTACAAAAAGAATGCATTTAAGGAAAAATTCGTATGCATATGATTACGAATAACATTAGACATAGAATATACTTCAAAGACAGAAAATTTTGAATAATATTGTTATTTTCTTTACATTTTGACAATTTTTTTTTTAAAATTCGTCAGGCCCGCAACTAGACCCGAGGCCTGCAATCGTGTTAGCATTTTTCTGCGCGCAGCCCGCATTTTTCTGCCCGCAGCCCGCAATTTTTGGCCAGCAGCCCGCATTTTTCGGCCCGCAGCCCGCAATTTTTGGCCCGCAGCCCGCATTTTTCGGCCCGCAGCTCGCAATTTTTGGCCCGCAGCCCGCAATTTTTGGCCCGCAGCCCGCAATTTTTGGCCCGCAGCCCGCACCACGCAGTTTCGGCCCGCAGCCCGCAACCCGCAGAATAGTTAAACTCGCCTTCGGTTGCCCACAATAAAGAGTTTGGGAACGCGACGGGAAGTGGCGACGGCGACCTGGGACTTGCATAATTTTACATAATTATCATAATTAAGTCACGAATATACGTTGTCTGGACGTTGGCGTTCTCCCGACAACGCCAGTTTGAGTGATTTGGCGTTGTGCTGACAACGTCTGGTTTTTGTGCCTTTTTCTGCATGATGGCCGAAACGAACAAGCAAAGGTAAGCTTTTTTACGTAAACGATATTCTATTTAACCAACTTTCGGTAATTTAACTCAAGTTTTATGTTGTTTAGCAGTAAATCTCAAGTCATGATCAAAGCGATGAAGTGGACTGATCAACATGACCTCGAGTTGATTAAAGAAATTTTAACAGAACGTCCTTTTGATAATCCTAAAGGTTCGAGGCGAATAGGACTAGTTTAAGAAAGAATCGTCGACAATTTAAATTCAAGAGCAGATATAGTCTTCAACTTGAAGGACATCAGGGCTGTACGCGATCGCTATAACTTGTTAGCAAAAAAATACAAAAAGAAGGAGAGAGAGGAAATTAATGCTTCCGGCATTGGCACCGATGAGCCAAGTGAGCTTGAAGACGCCATTGAGGAAGCTGTTGCTCTTTTTGAGAGTCAAGAAGAGGACCGAGAAAACTGGTCGCACTTAAAACTGCTCGAGAAACAGCAAAAAGAAAAGCATCAGGAAACGATTCGTTCAGAGCCAAGAAAACAGCTATTGTAGAATTTCTAAGAGATAAAGCGAATCAGGATATTGAGTATAGAAATAAAGAGCTTGAACATAAAACTAAAGAACTGGAAGTTCGAAAGCAAGAGCTAGCAATAAGGAGCAAGGAGCTTGAAGCACAAACTCAACAAAATCAAAACTTGTTGAACACTTTGCTTGAATTTGCAAAAAATCGTTAACTGTACAAGAACTGTAAGTACATTCCTTTATGTGTTTGACCATTCTTCATGTTTATTGAATACGGACAGGCTACTTCTGGCCTTTGAATTTTGTTTGGATACTTTACAGGACAAGTTGCATGCTATACTTTATTATATTAATATTTTTATAGTTGTATATGTAAATTGAAAATAAAAGTTATTGGTTCAGAAAATTTAATTTTGAATTACTTTTGATTCTGGTTGTATGGATCAAATTTATAAACAATAATTATATCTTTCACGCAAATGCAATGTTACTATACTGTTGTCTTGCAATATACTATGTTTCATAGAGTATTATCATTAATTACATGTGGACACTATGCATCAGCTCTCCAGAAGTAGTTTTCTAGTGTTGGTGGGTTGATTTCAAAATATTCTGATACAATGTTACCATACAAGCAAGCTAAACTATTTTGCAATATGGCAGATACAATGTAAATTTTTCCAATGGGACTTAACCGTATTTTAAGTTGTTGCTTAAAATCTACAAACTTAAAATACTTGGTTATTTCTCCAAATAACCATTCCACACTGACTCGTACACTGCTCATTGCCTTGTTATATTGCCTCATATCTTCTGTTAATGCGGCATTATTTCGGAATGGTTGCTGGAGGTGGACCCTCAATGGGTAGGCTGGGTCACCATATAGACATAATGGGGTGCCGTCTGGTGCAAATGCATGCTGCCTGAGGTCTTGCATCAAGCCTGACTCTCCAAGTATACGTGCATCATGCATTCTTCCCTCTAAAGCAAAGCAAAACAAAATATATAACTAAATGATTGAATTGAATGACTTTGTTCAAAATTTATATATTAACAATTTATAACAGAACACATCATTGTACTGATTATTGGCAATATAAATGTCAAAAAAGTGCTAACTCACCCCATGGTCCAGACAGGTTTGCTATCAGACCATTCGGAATACATATACTCTGAAATTTGATGGCATGTAGCCGCTTATGACCATTGTAAACAATTATTTGATTAACACTGGGTCTACAAATTGGCCGAACTGTGCCATCGATGAAACCAAAGCATGTTAGAAGAGGGGAACCTTTGACATGAATTGCATTTGCATAGGATTCCAGATTCTCTGGAGATAGAAATGGTTGATTCCAGGTTTGTAATCTGAAACCGTGGTTGTTGTAAATATGATTGATT